CGTTTGCTGTCGCCTGCTTATGCCAATTCCTTGATTGCTACCGCCGACCCCATTGGAATGCTGCCATACGTGTTGTCCGTTATCTTAAGGGTACACGCTTACTTACATTAACTCTAGGGGGCGATCCCGAATTGGATCTTGTTGGATTTTCCGACTCCTCTCATGCTGACTGCCCAGATACTGCCTGCTCCACTATGGGTTACTGCTTTTCCGTTGGTGGCGCCGTCTTCACTTGGTCATCGCGCCGACAGAAAACTGTTTCCAACTCTTCCACCGAGGCAGAATACATTGCTCTTAGCGAGGCCAGCCGCGAAGCCCTCTGGTTACGGCAATTCCTTCATGAAGTCCACCTTCTCAAGCCTGGACCAACCGTCCTCTTATGTGACAACAACGGTGCCAAGGCCCTTTCTTCGGACCCTACCCACCATTCACGGAGCAAGCATATCGACGTCTGTCATCACTTTGTTCGCGAGCGCGTGGACGACGGTTCCCTCACCATTTGGCGCGTCCCCGGTTTCGACAATGTCACTGATATCTTTACCAAGGCACTGCCTCGCCCTGATTTTACACGCCTGCGGCCTTTCCTTGGACTCCGGTGATGCTTGTGCGAGGAGGAGCATTTCTGGTTGGCGTTTCGATTTTTAATCTTCTTAACCTAAGTAGATTTTCTTTCGACCTTGCCAGCCGGTAGCTTTTTCCCACTGGGTTTTGACGCACCCGGCGCTCGGATTTCACCTATCTATTTCTCCTCACATCTATCTCCCCCATGTTCGTCAATTTTGTTTTATTTTCCTTTTATCTTTCTTTTCCTTTTATCTTTCTTTTCTTTTTACCCTCTCACTGATCCTCAATTTGAGGAGGAGTGTTGAAGTCTGCATCTGAGATCGTGATCGAGGATGATCGTGTTATGTAACCACTACTATATCTACTGTACAGGGGTTCGTTCCTTCCCTCAGTCGCTCTTCCATCGGCTGAGGTGAGTAACGGATCCCGCCTTTACTATATCATTGGACTGACTCGAGTACTACTCATAGGGTATACTAGGTACGGTTTCCAGTGATATATACAGTCACTCTTCCATCGGCTGAGGGTATACACTAACTGGGAAAAAAGAATGTCTGGTCATTTTTTGGACAAAGTTGGTGCTGTAACACAAGAACCAAACATTTTCAGAACTAAGCTATGGTGTATGAGACATAGCTAAGGAGGTGTAGATTGTACATACCAAGTCTGGGGATGAATGAATGAAAACTCAGGATAAGGCAGAGCATTCACTGTGACAACTTCCAAAAATGGGATTTGACAAAATGGGAAATTCTGAATGACTGCAACCTACTTGAAGCAATTCACAATTTGAAGAAGAAATATTTTAAACACTCAATCTCCCTGCTATTGTCATAAGCCCCATAAAGTCTCTGAGATATAAAATTCTATAGTCTCCCCAAAAAAGTGAATTTGAATTGATTCCCCTCCTTGGACATTTGCAGTTGCAAATATTGCCCAGGATTGATAGGAGAAGGTATCTATTGTCATAGTATTGTACATATACATAACTATTACTGTTCCATGATCTGATTTGACCACATTGCCAGGAATAAAGCATTTAATGGCTAATAAAACTTCAAGAAACTGTGAAAATTAAGAGACATATAGTCAATATGGTTCCCAGAAACCCTGCTTCCAAGGGGTTACAGTTAATATGGGTGTTGTGAAATGTCCATGCCAAGTGCTTCTACCTATCTCTTGAGTTTTGGGCACAGATGCTTCTCAAATGGCCCACAAAGCTTGCTGAAGCATGACAGAGAGATTTCCAAATCAGGCCTAGAAAGGTCTGGGGGTCTCAGATCCTTGTATGAATAGGACCTCTGTTTATTTCCTTGGGATAGTGTTCCTAGGTATGAGAAGTGCCTTGTGAAATATTTTCAGCCCCAATTCACCAAGAAAAATGTCAAGGATTGGTCCAGGACGATTGCTCTATGCAAAATGTACTTTTCTTAGGGACCATTCAAGTTATACCCAGTGTAAATTTATTTGCCATCATATTATACTTCAGGTGTTGTTTAAAGGACATCCTGAGTCTCCATGGATTAACTCAAAAGGGTGGTAGCATTTTTTCTTCTTGCAGAAAAGAAGGACCAATGTTGTAGATACTTGTTTACTTTCAGAAAAACTCTGGAAATTAACTTCTACAGACATCATGCAATGGTCATTTTAACATTTCTACCTACCTTTTGTATTATACACACTACAAACATTAATAGGGAGTCATTTTTCCTCATTCCAACAAATATATTGAGTGAAAAATACATAAAGTGGAGAACAAGTTCAAATTTACCTTTTAGGGGAGGATATAAATTTTCTAGCCCAAAGACTTTATGAAGCTCATAACAATAGCAGGGAGATCCAGTGTTCAAAATATCTCTTCCTCAAGTTGTGAATTGCTTTCAGTAGGTTGCAGTCATTCAGAATTTCCTATTTTGTCAAATCCCATTTTTGGAAGTTGTCACAGTGAATGCTCTGCCTTATCCTGAGTTTTCATTCATTCATCCCCAGACTTGGTATGTACAATCTACACCTCCTTAGCTATGTCTCATATACCAGAGCTTAGTTCTGAAAATGTTTGGTTCTTGTGTTACAGCACCAACTTTGTCCAAAAAATGACCAGACATTCTTTTTTCCCAGTTAGTGTACTAGTCCTTTTCCAACAGAGTTCGCCCTCCAAGATGTATGGTATCAGTGCCTTTGGCACCAATGCGTCTTTCTACAATACAAACTGGAGAAGGAAAATGCTAATGGAAAATGCTAATGGTCACTGCGGCATTATCAGGCCCCCGCCAGCTGCAGAGTATTCGCTGAGTACACTTGTGGATGTGGCACCGAAAAATCGGTGGGATCTCAATATACTCGATGAGCAAGGGTATGACAAATTTATGGAATTCGTTGAGGAGGCCAAGGGTTTAGAACTTCATGAACGTATGCACCTACCTATGCATGTTTCTCAACTCGGTGTGCTGACTTTTTCTAGCAGTTCAAGAAGCGTAATCGGGTTCCATTCGAATTTAAAGTGCACCATGGTCATTTACCAATTATTATTTCCGTTGTAAATCTGTTGGAATTGCAAAGCTGCCGATGTCCGTATGCCTCAATATGCCTACTAGTAGCTGTTCGAAGACCATGCTCTTGCGCCTCACACGGGCCGTGCCAATCATTATCTGCTCATAAAATAGATTGTCAATTTCCGATGATTGAAATGAAGAGAGAAATAACCTGATAGGATATGATATCAGCAAGCTCTGAAACGGGACCGTATCTCCATTTCTACGACAAAAACCCCGATGACTCTCTTTTTTTGCAAAGAAACACCACATACTTCTGAGGAGTCAATAGGTCGCGGTCCGTAATGCACGGGCGAGCAAAAAATGGACTATTATCACCAATTAATTACACATACAGCATTGTATAATACGACAATAAAAACGTAGTCGGGATCAGAGCGCGGAGAAGGGACAGCGTGTGTAGTTTATACATTTTCTTGGGGGATGTGGACAACAGAAGATGATTTGTGGGAGGAGAGTGTGGTACATGGTCATGATCATGATCATGGGAGGGGAAAATCGGCAAGAGTAGCGGTCAATAAATGTGTGTAGGGTTAGAGGTTTCAGAAGAATTAAGGATTAGGGGGGACATTGCAAGGGGATATAATATGGCGGGATTGTTGGGAATGTTGAGGATGACAATGCGAATCTTGATGCGACGGGCATAATAGCCAGGATATCAGAGTGAATACAACGATCAATGATGGAGATGCGACGAGAGCAGTGGGATCTAGCACGAGAAAGCAAAAGCAGATCAAACGAGGGCTGCAGACTGGAGGTAACCTCGGAAGATTGAGTCGCGAACTAAACAAGACAGTCAGCAAAACAATCCAAGGCGCTGCAATGGAGCGTACCGTTTCCAATGATACGCTGCGTCGCCTTTGTGTCCTGGACGTCAAATATGAGCAAGTTTTTAAGATTTCGCCGAAAGATAACTCACCACTACACTCGTAAAATGAGTATACAGCACCTGACGATTCTCATTGTTTCGTCTATGAACCTGCAGGAAGTGAGCGCGGAAGTATTGAACGACGGTCTCGTAATCGTTGGACCGATCGCCGAAGGACATGATGCTGGTGAGGGGTGAGTGATGAAAACCTGGTTGCAAACGGGGTGACTCACTACTTCCGGACCTTGAGTCCGGTGTCGAGCTTCGCCTTCAGCAGATCCGTCTTATCTGTAAGAAAAATTGTGATGAATGAGCACGAAGGGACGATGAGACGAGTCCCAGCGCATTTACGCACTCAGGAAGAGGACCAAGTGAACGTTCTTCAGCAGAGCGTTCGAACATATTTACGTGAATAATTGCAGCGAGTCGTCTATCCTGTTCGCCCGAGGGTCTTCTTCGAGATACTAAATGAATTTGTTAGCATGGTTACCAACAACGTGGCCGAAAAATGAGAGTTGAGAAAGGAACGACAAAACGAAACAGAGAAGCACGCTGGTGGTTGCCACGTTTCAAAAGCAAGTGATAGAATGGAGTAGAATGGAGGAAGGCGCGAACGCCAAGGGAAGAAAAAGAGACTCGCCTGATCAAATGCGCTCACGGGAGCAACAAAAATGATAGCGTTCGTATCATCGAAGTATGGCACCCACGAGTGTCTCTGTCCTCGAGCACCACCTACGTCAAATAGATGCCAGGTCACAGATTTCCCGTGGATGTTCACATCAAAGATGTGTTCAGCGACTCCCATAGTCTGGATACGAGCATGAAGGATGTCGTCTGGTGGGATAAAGTGAATATATGCGCGATAAACAGCAAGAATAACTACTTTACCTATGCTTGGGACATAGTCCGGCGATGCGACACGCGTGATGTTCTTAAGAAAACTAGAGAAACAAGATCAGAATAGAATACTAGAGACCAAGGTAGGCGACGTACAACTCGGACCATTCATCAAGTTTCCGTTTCCGTTTGGCGATTAACCCTTTGACAGTGGGATGATGCCACAACTCCCGGATATCCTAAACGGAGAGCTCCAGCATTCGCCCAACGTCCTGAACCAAAGGGTCCTGCGGTTCCTGGGGTTCAATCTCACGAGTCTTCTTTTCGCTTTCGGCCGAAGGGCATTTTTGTTTGATTTTTCCGAGAGCATTCTCGATGGTACGGGCCTGCCAACCACTCCGCACAAAGACGCCGCCCTTACCAGAACCAGACACCGAAATTCCGCCACTGAGCCTGTCCGCGAGCTGCGCGTCCGCAGCTACCAATGGGGACAACCTGCGTCGAAGGTTGGCTATCTGAAGGGCGCCGCCCTCTTTCATCGAATGGGAGTGTGAGCCGCCGGCCTCCGACGGCATCAGGGAACTTGGTGATCCTTGGATGATGCTGCCGGTCAAGAGAGAAGTAGATGGTGACGGCTGATCTGCGATACCGTTCCCGCGAGCCTTCTTTGGTATGATAGACTGCGAATCGTCCGTCGATGTAGGTTGCGCCTCGGCGTCTTCGTCAAGAGTGTCGTCCCAAGCTTCAAGCGTAGCTAGGATGTGTTTTAATGAACGAACGACGTTAAAGTAGATGACCGCTGTCCAAGATGCGCGTTCTTGATCCATCGAAGTGGGTTTATACATGAGCTGGAACTGTTTCGGCAGCGTCGATTTCCCGCTCTCGGCTTGACCAAGGAGAAGAAGCTAGCAGCGCAGGATGAGTATATGCGGCGCATAATTGTAAAGCGCACTGACCTTGACGTCGCCCTTCTTCTTCTCCAATCGCTCCCGCTCCTCCCGCAGGTCGTCGTCGATTTGCTCAGAAACCCGTTTCGCCTTAGCTTCTGCATACAGACGAGACGGAGGCCTCCATGGGTGATGGTTTGAGGGCGGCAGAGATGGGATCATCCTGACTGTAGAGCGACAGCGTGCGCATTAGTCGAGTGAGCGGAGGCGATGGTGGTGGTTATGAAGAAAGAAAAGAAGACGGCCTGTTGAGCAGGAAATTTAAATGCATTGGATTGAGTTTCACTGGGGATGCCACGCATTACTAGCTACTGTCTGGTGGGAGGATGTCTCGGGATTGGGGGATGTCTCCTTTTTCCCTGTTCATAAGTTACAACTCAATTTTCGCGACGAGACGAGACGAGGAATGGAGAGGGGCTTACCATGCCCACACGGGGAACTTGTGCACCAAAAAGTCACCCCCGCGACGAATTTATCTGTTGCTCTTGAGTAAATGACTCGGACGTAGATGATCGTGGACGTACCGAGTGTATACGGCTGTGTTCTTCGTATTTGCTCTCTTTGAGAACCTAGGTGGGTGATTTGATTGGTGACGGTGAGATGATGGTGGATCATGGGGCTCACTGGGCTTATGTACTCGCGTACGGCGAATAGGTTAGACTGGATTGGTTATGCTTGGATAAGTTGGTAGGAGATGAATGACGCGATTGTGGACTTACTAGGAGGGTGCATGGAGGTTGGGTTGACGGAGAGCTGTTTTTGTATAGAACCTCCTCAAACAACTGCGCGGTGCCGAAGCAGAGGCGGTTGAAACCTCACTGCAGAGTAGTCGCGTTCGACAATCAGCATGTGCACGGCACTCGTGACTCCAACATGGCGCAACTTTGACACAAAAGTATGTCTCCCGAATTTTGAGCTTCTTTCTTACAACATAAAATGGCCATCCTCAGATGCGCGTGATGATCAAGTCCCGCTCAAGGCCTACTCACAGGCCACCACTCTAGAAGCACACGCAGTGCTCGTACGCGACCAGTCGGTGTAAACAAGGACTCGTTGAAGCACTATCCAACACCCCTCACATAAACCCAACATAAGCACATGGCTTCGACCCTCCTTCGCGCTCCCTCGCCCCTTCAGATCTTCAGATCCTAAGTAATCCCGCCATCCGAGTTTACATGGCCCACCTCGCCAGCATCCATCCCCGCGTGCAGAGCCTTCGCAAAGAACCTCCTCGGCCCTTCCTAAAAGTGATCGATGATCCTCCAAACTTTCCCTTCCACCTCAATCCCCAATTCCACCTCGAAAGCCTCGTCTTCCGCCTCAACTGCCTCCCCCCCACTTTACATCTTCATCCCTATCCTCATACAAACTTCCCTCTACGCCTCGGACAACACAAGCTCTGCATCGTCACTTCCACGTCCTCCCTCCGTTGTTAGAATTGACGTGTTCGATGCTGGGTGGGCGCAGGCCGCGGCTGAGGGTGATCAGTTCCAATGGAGAAATGTCAGGGTTTCTGTGGGACTGAATGCCCGCAAGGAAGCTGGGATTCGAGATGGGACTTCGGACACAACTTCTGCTCCACGCAATACGCACATAACGCTGCAAGTGTATCGCGCATGGTAGTGTTGTTCCCTCTTGGGATTCTTCGATGTCGTCTTCATCTTCGAGGGTGCCATTCACTGCTGCTACCATGGCGCGGCCTTGTCACGTTCGTCTTCGACCCACTTGGTCGAGTTCAACTTTGAATTCTAAGATATGAAAACCAGCATGGCAGACTACGCCTACAAATCAGCGACCACCGGCTCCATCTACCTCTCTAGTTCTCCACCATCTCTGAACACGATCTGCACTGCCACTACGTCCCGGGCCTCGTCGGCAAGCGACGATTGTACGAGTGTCAGCGTGCTTGAAGTCCTTCGTCCCAGTCGTGCTTGAGTGGATGGTGAACCTGCGTGATCCTTTCATTCTCAACTTCAGCTCAGCAGAGCTTCGGTTCTGGCTTGTACTATGAGGTGTCAGCGCGCTTGCGGAAAATAAAGGGGTTTGTACCAACGATTTCGGTGGAAACGTTGACTTTTCAGACTGATATTCGCACCTCGATAGGTTTGAGTATGGCATTCAGGCGTCGTCGGTCGTAGGTGGTTCAAAGTGACTGTTCTTTCGCTTCAGTCGACTGGCGTGAAGAACAATGCATGAGCTCAAGTTTGCCACCATCCATGAAGTCGGAGATCAATCTGTTTTTCACCGTACGTGCTTTATCGCATTTGTGTTTTTTCTGTCTTATCAAGAGGTCGTCATTTAGATAATTTCTTATACCGAACTAGGCATGCGTCAAAGAAGCACTGATATGACTACAACCGCGTGGTGTGGGATGCTTGGGGCTCCAGTCAGGACTCTAGTAAGTCCTCATCAATCATTGGTAGAAGTTCACGGCGCTAAACTGCTAATAGTAACTCTAAGCTGTCATGCTGCTCCATCGTCGAGTCTGGCGCCTGACCAAGTCAGTTGTACATGAAATTTTCCACCAATAAGCGGATGCTGGAAGTTCGCTGCCTCCCTCTAAACACCTGCCTTTGCTGGAGTAGCGGTAAACGACTTTCCAGATTTGCTACTGTCTAAAGCACCTCATGAAGACACTTAGGTAGCTCGTTCCTTCCCCGCCCCCGAGTGTGCGGAGATTTCGACCTTGCGCCCTTCACGGTGAGTCGTTTCTTGTGCTTCGCGCCTTTTCTGCTGACTGTTCTTACCGTTAAGGACATTGTGGCGGTCACCACCATCTGACTTCTTGACTACTAGGCGCGACATATCCTTCCCTCACAAAACTTTGCCCTCGGTTCGAACGGCAGGTGTGAAAGTGGTGGGCGCCTGTAAGGTTTTCTGGTTTTTACCGAAGCTGCTTGATCTAACTATGAATCTAAAAGTGAAGGGACTCTTCGGTGCCTAGGACGATATAATCAATGTTTCTGGGTGCCAGGTTCAAAATGAGCACCCTGTCCTGTATCCCAAGACACACCAGAAATAGTAGGATGCTGCCCAGTGTAGAACCGATAGTATACGCGAATGACAGGTTTTCCCGTGGCTGCAACTTGTTACGTGTTAGGGCTTGGCGCTGATACAAATGGTACCTTCACTCAGTACGCATTGCTTGTCAGTTCTTTTCGAGCTTTTTACCCCGTACGAAGCTGATCATTCTTGATATAAAGAGAATTGTCCCCCACCTCAGCTCTCACACACTCCCTGATAATCGGTCGCGACAAATCTTGACCGCAGAAGGGTTGTACAACTCGATGTCCATGATCGGCTCAGATTGCGGGTTCTGTACGTATGGTCTTGAACCAAAATGACGTGTCCAATGAGAAGGCGAACTCGCACCGTCATAGATCCTACTTTTACAAGCAGGACATCGACGTTTCAAGCTTCAAGTCAAGGTGGGTCTGTTATATCCGTTCTCACTTGTCTGTATGCTTACCAACAACAAACTTAAGATTACGACAGTCACGACACCCAATGGCCCGACAGTTCAACGTGCTGGAATGGTAAGCCGTCATCGACGGGAGCCCTTCATATCTGATTTATCAATCAGTTGCCAGGAGCGCGCTCCTCACTGTTCAAGATCGACGCAATTTCAAGACAGACTGAGAGACCCAATTTTAACCAAGGGTTTCTCACCGCCAGCTTCAGATCCAGCACCCAGAACTACGCAAGAACTACGTAGACGTGCGGTGCTGCTTAGCACGGAACGGAAGAAGCTGGTCTGTGCGGTTAGGTGGGTCGAGTGTGATGCACGAACTATGTATAATCACTCATCTTGGGTTTTCTATTAGGGCAACGGGGAACGACAAAATGGAAGGTCGATTTTAATGCAACCACTCCACCAGCTACAAAATTTTCTGGTTGGTATAACATCTGGACCCCTACAAAACCGTCGCATATAGGACTTGAATTGGATTGAAGAGTCGGAATCGCAATTGGTACGTTGTCTATGCCTGTGTCGCATTTCCATAAACCCTTCCTGCACAGATCGGCCCTACAATCGCTGTGTGATCACGTACAGCGTTTTCCGCTCAAATTCAGATTGCAAGGTCGCAATCATTCTCGTTTGCGGGTGCGCAGCATGAGAGCTCACTTACACAGAGCGGTCGATGAACTTATCGAATACCTCGTCATTTACAGTCGATACTCGTCTTTCGACTACGATGTTTTACTCACTCGGTCGTAACACGAATCAGCGGACTGCTAGGGACTTTAAGGGCTTTTCAACCATGTCATCTGGCGTGTTCAGAAGGGAAACGTTTTTGGTCGAGAGCTACATGAGGGAAACTCCGGAAAGGGCATTGTACAAGCTGAAGCAGCCCGCGTTAAAAGGAAGCTGCGTTACACACTGCCTTTCACGTATATCCTCCATTTAACCATAACACCAGCTCTTGGTCCTATACAAAGGTGTCAGAGGATGTGACGTCACCTGCGAGCGCTTGAGCAGTAGTAGCTGGTTGATTGAGTCCATTGAAATGAAAGGCGAGGAAGACGCGACATTGAACCCGTACAGGCCTCTGCCTTACATTCACGGCACAGAACAGAAGGTTAGTAGTGTCATCAGTTGTTCATGACCGTCCTCAAAAAGGTGGTTGAGGTGGGGATCGCCTCGAGAAGCGTCCGCGGAAAATAACAAAGGGTGATTTGGGTTTCCGAAGTGAGTACAGGGTGTGCCCTATGACTTTCGCCATGCTGTCGGAGGCCAGTGCTTAGGAAGGGCATCGCATGATGGTTTGAAGTTCTACAAAAGGCCAACTTCCCCCACAATTGTGCCAGCGCACGCCAAGGTCTTTTGGTTACGAACGTACTGTTGGCCCGTTGCGGCTAGTTGATAATCTAGGTACAACTTACGTTAGAGGTGAGAGAAAATGGGAATATCAGAAAGCGTACTTACGGAGAGGAGCGAGTCACAGTTGAAAGAAGTAGTGTCGAGCTCTTACAGTCGAGCGAAACCATGTGTGCTCCTCCTCCGGTCTCGCATTGACTTTGTGAGGGATGAGATATGACTTTGTAAGAGCATGTTAGAAATTTGTGCGGCGCCACCCCTAGATATGAAATCGAAGCCCCAGTTGCGAACGTGCTTCTAGATTGAAAGAAGAAGATGAAATTGCGACTTGAATGGAAACAAACGCTATGTAGGCATAACGAATGATCAGTAGATAAAATTTTGACGTGTTGCCCCGGTTCACCTGGGTGACAATAATCCGAAGTTGTCATGAAGATGCGCGTCGACGTGGTTCATGCCCGCAAATGTCGTTGCAGTGCTACAAGTCGATGTTCCAGGTGCCAGCACTCGTTCTGGCCAAAATGAGCAGAAGCTTTCTTTATCACGTTGATCAAAAGTTTAACCCATTACGGGTGCACCACCAACCCAAGAAAAAAGAACGTGCGTGTTGGGTCGTGTTGGGTGAAAATCCAGATAAGAGCCAACACCTAGTATGATAGGTAAGCACATACACAACAAAGCCAGCAACGAGGCTTACTTTTATAGCAAACTGGTTGAACGTATTGTGAGGTCACCCCGTTCCCGTTCCTCCGAGGCATCGAAATCCAACCACTAGGCGTCTTTCTGAAACGTGACACGAAGAACTTCCACGGCGCAGTACGGAGAATGTGTTTTGCGACAAGATGAGCCGCGTTGGCATTGGCATTTCTCGAAGGACAAGCATCGATTGCAGATGACGAGGCTCATGTCGACCTTTCCCTGAGGGATTCTGCAAAACGTAGGCCCGAGCGCGGACGTTCCGCGAAACGGGTGATTCCCTGTGCCAACACCACACGATGGAGCTTGACATCCGCTGTAGTAAAGGGTTGAAAGTCATGACAGTCGTGAGAGGCGCCCCGCACTCTTCCACAGGAATAGCAATAACCTTGGTTCGCCAAAGTAATTCAACAAGTCTTCACATTAAACTCTGGATAAGTATCTTCACCAGTAGAATGAGCATGGCGCAACTCACAATCTCGGTAAGAGCCATCCCCAAGGTTTCGTAAATCCACTAGCCTCCCCTTGATGCCCTTCGGCTCCTCTTGAACGAGGTAGTGAAATCCCAGCTTGCGTTCTTTGGCTGGACTGCTACTGGCATCCAGCTAATACTTGCGAATCTTCGTCATAAAGATCAATCTAATGACTTGGTTGAAGAAAACCCCAAGAAGACCCACCTCATAAAGCCTCACGAAAATAGGTAGTCAATTTGAGTGTAGCTCAAGACTTGCGTAGTCAAGCTGGTCACGGCGTCGCTGGTGTTCTAACCGGGCCAAAACCGAGCTTTGTCAAACATCGCAACCTCTCCCATTGAACCTTGAAATTAACGTTAATCGCCACTTATTGAGAGAATATCGTTGAAAAGCGTACTGGGATGGAATGAATAAAATGGAATTTGCCTCTCAGTGGGACTACCAGGCGAAACATTGCCGACTCTTATGGGTAAAGAAACTTGGAGAACGACACAAGCACGCCGGATCCAAGATACCGCTCGCTCTTTTCCTCTCAACGCCTTGATCGGCGAGCATGCGCAATACCGTCTTGCTGAAATCCCACGTTCACGGCGAAGAAGGCAACATTCGGACCTATGGTGGTAGTTGAGTGGTAGTTTCGAACAGGTGAACGTTATACTAGACAACTCAATCAACAAACAAAACATTACAACGCCTTCCTCCTTAGCGGCCTTATCATCCACCACTCGTCTAACGTTCCACCACAAGCAGAAAACTTCGAGACAAAGGTACGTCTCTCGAATGTTGAGCTTCTTTCAAATCCTTACAATGTAAAATTGCTATCCTCAGAAGCGCGTGATGATCAAGTCCTGCCAAAGGCATATTCACTGGCCATCACCCCGGAAACACACACAAGTGTTCGTATACAAGTACGTCGGCGTAAACCAGAACTCGTTGAAGCACTATGCGACACCCCCCACATAAACCCACCATAATCGCATGGCTTCTACCCTCCTTCGCACCCCGTCGCCCCTTCAGATGCTAATCCCGCCATCCGAGCTTAGATGGCCGACCTCACCAGCATCTCTGCGTGCAGACAACCTCCTCGACCAGCTGCATGGTGTCGAAGCAGAGGAGATTGAAACCTCACTGAAATCTCGACGAGGGCGTTTCGATCTGATTCCCATATTATGACTGGCACTCGGCCCTTCCTCAACAAAGTTTTCCTCCCAAGTTTTCCTTCCGCCTCAATCCCCCATTCCACTTCGAATCCCGCGTCTTCCACCTCAACTGCCTCTTTTCCCTCTACAAATTCTATCAACCCCTCATCCAGACCCTCATCCAAACTTCCCTGTGCGCCTCGGACAACATTAACTCTGCCTCGTCATTTCCGCGTGATCGCCCTGCGAAGTTTTTCCTCCACTACTAGAATCGACATGTTCGATGCTGGGTGGGCTGCTTGATTTCAGGTTTCCGGTGAGGAGAAGGCCAGGGTGTCCATAGGCCTGAATGACGTGTAGAAAGGTTGGACTTGGGACACAACCTCTACTCCATGCAATACAGGATGCCATTCATTACCTTCGGCCCCTGCAATAATGACCTTGGCCTTGTCAAGTTGGTCTTCGAGCCCCCCTCTTGTCGAGTTCAACTTTAGATTTCGAAAAACGGAAACCATCATCGTCGGCAAAGGCCTCTCCCGCATCTGCTCAGCCTCAATAAGGAAGACCCCTGGCTAGGCTCCCAGCTTCTACTCTCAAACTCCATGGGGCTCCATGACTTCGGTGAAGATGTCGATCAGCAACGGTATTTCTGGCCCGAGAGAAGGAGGAGTATGGGTTCAAGAGATAAAGGACTTTTCTGAGCCTGCGGCACTGTAGACAGCGACGTGGGTGCAGAGTGGGGTGGCCCCAAGTGTGTGAAGATTTTGACCTTGCACCCTTCACGGTGAGTTGTTTCTTGTGCTTCGTGCCTTTTCTGAAGCTGACTGTTCTTGCCGTTAAGGATATCGTGGCGTTCACCACCATCTGACTTCTTGACCACTGGGCGGGACATATCCTTCCCTCACTTCAGTCGGCCCTCAGTTCAAATGGTAAGTGCGAAAGTGGTGTCCTGTGGAAACTTCTTGATCTTAATTATGAATCGAAAAGTGAAATTGCGCGTCTCGCCGACATCGAGGTTGCTAGCAAAGCCCTCTTCGGTGTCATCGGTTGCCTGGGACGATATAAATTTTCTACAGTGACAAAGTTTCTGTGTGCCAGGTTCAAAACCGAGCACTCTTCCCTGTATCCAAACACGCTCTAGGAATAGCAGGTTGTTGCCCAGTGTGGAACCGATAATCTACGCGAAGGAAGCAGGCTTTCTCTTCCCATAAGCCGTGGCCGCAACTTGTTACGTGTTAGGCACTGCCAGCCTGGCGCTCATACAGACTGTACCCACTGCTTGTAAGTTCTTCTCGAGCTTTTTACCTCGTACGAAGCTGATCATTCTAGATAGAAAGAGAATCCCCCCCCCACTTCAACTCGCACACGCTCCCTGGTAATAAGTCGCGATAAATCTTCACGCTAGAAGGGACGTACAACTCGATGCCCATGATCGGCTCAGATTGCGGGTTCGTCGTATGTAAAAGCCTACGCCCTTTTGAATTGTTTCACCAAAATGACCTGTCCAATAAGGGGGGCAAACTCGTGCATGTCATTGCTGTCATAGAATACATGCAGGTCATCGATGTTTCAAGTCAAAGTGGGTCTGTTATATCCGCTGTCACTCTGTGTGCTTACCAGAACAACAGACTCAAGATTACGACGACGGTCACGACACTCAATGGTCCGGGCAGTTCAACGTGCTGAGATGGTAAGCCCTCATCGACGGGAGCTCTTCGTATCTGATTTTTCTATCAGTTACCTTTCAGGCTGCCAGAAAAGCGCTACTCACTGTTCAAGACTGATCGACTGACCTAATATTAACCAAGGGTTTCTCACTGCCAGCTTCAAATTGAGTGGCCAGAACTACGTAGACGTGCGGTGCTGCTTGGCGCGGAACGGAAGGAGCTGGTCTGTGCGGTTAGGTGGGTCGAGTGTGATGTACGAAATATGTATACTCATCTTGGGTTTTCTATCAGGGCAACGGGGAACGACAGAATGGAAGGTCGATTTCAATGCAACCACCCCACCAGCTATAAACCCTTGTTCGAGACTAGTTGGAAGAACTGCACCAGCCATGACGTCGTCAAACTGGAACCACAAAACCTTCGCATTCAGGACTTGAATTGGATTGAAGAGTTGGAATCGCGGTGGTACGTTGTCTACTACGCCTATGTCGCATTTCCCTAAATCCTTCCTGCACAGATCGGCCCTACAATCCCTGCCACTCGACAGGAAGGTCATGTGTAATTACGGACAACCTTTTCCGCTCAAATTCAAATTGCAAGGTCATTGTGAAAGGTAGTTATTCTCGTTTGTGACTATCTCTGTCGTAACTCATGTAATTGCTGTATCCTATTGTAGAACGCAAGCAAAAGACGACCAAATTGAATACGGCTTTCAGCGTTTTAACAAACAGAACCACTCCGACTCCTTAAAACCCAGGAATATCAGTCGCCAGCTCTGTCCAACTTGACGTCCGTTCGAGTTTGGATCACAGGGGTATTCCTAGTGCGGCGTCCCAGAGACAGGTGCTTCGAACGTGTGGAAATTGAGTCATGAAGCAAAGCGTCATTTGCTGCTCACCGTCGCTCTTCAGCGGTGCAAACGCTCTTTGGCTGTGGATACATTGAATGCTTGAAACCAAAGTCGTTACTTTAACACTAACGAAGTCTCGTTGAGGGCTTGCCCGCCCAAGTGGTAGCAACCCCATCTAAGAGGAGCTGGGGAAAAAGGTAAGCATACATCCAGTTCTTGGGGTTGTGCGGCGTAGTTCTGATATTTCTCTGTGGCTAGCTTGCCGTTGGACGATAGAACGACGCGCTACCCCTGACGGCAATGAAGAAAAGGGCGAACATAGTTTGATAGGGTCAGCGTTAGTTGTGTCATTCGATGCGGATCCACATTGCTTACAGGCTTTCATGTAGCCTTCTTTCCTGATGGTGGGGAGCATACTCAAGATTGAAGGTACGCCTCCAAGCCACCAGTGGAGTGGAAACCTACACGGACGTCGCGGTTCACGGACAAATGCGTAGGGGGTGTGAGAAGGGAAAATGGGGGAGAACAGTGATCTTGGCTGAGACGGGGACTTCATTGGCAAAATGGGATGGCACATCACGATAGAATTGTAGCTGATGATCGTACCAAGTAGGATTTAGTCTCATACTGCTCATGTTACAGCCACTTCTTCAACCTTCCGGGTCTTCAGTCACCGTAGTTTAAGTTCTCTAGTACGTGGTCAATGAAGGAAAATGATGTCCTAGATAGAAGCCCGCTGCCGAGGAGACTTGTCTGTGCTAAGTGGCGAACTCATGCCACTGCTGGAGCTCGAATTGTACTCACCCTCTCCCTCGCACTCCCTCGCCGCTTGGTTGATGTTCAAATCTGGCAACAAACTTGCGCGCTTTCACGATCGTCGTGGGCAGATAGTTGGGGAGCCAATGACGTGTGTATATATTGGAAATTGAGTGGGAATCAAGTTGTACGAACGGAAGAACTTGGGAAGAACGAGAAGCGAGTCAGTGACGTCACTCGAGTGGCTGACCCAGCATAACCAAACAATACACATGCGTGGCGCTTATCTTGGTTCTTCACCACTTCCACCATCTCAGGCATCCCAGCGACAAATGTCTCTTTCCAATGTTAAATCCCAGGCCGCAGTGGATATAGAAAGACAACAGAGACGAGCACACAATGTTCGAAACGTCACCAAGCGTTTTCGCGTCCTCATCATTGGCCGCGCCAATGCGGGGAAGACAACCATCCTCCAGCGAGTTTGCAATACAACGGAACAGCCGAAAATTTTCAATCAGAAGGGTCATGAGGTATTACATGTTCTAGACATCATCATCTATCATTATTGATGTGAAAAAGATTGACTCGTCCAAGCTCGATCCAACTGCACAGGTAACATGGATCTACACTCTCTATTACATTTTACTGAAAGTGTGGCAGAGAGGGGAGCATGATATTGAGAATGAAATGATATTTGAGAGCAATGGGGCATTTGTCTTTCATGACTCATGTGGCTTTGAAGCAGGCAGAACATATGAGTTGGATAAAGTCAAGGAGTTTCTGCAAAAATGTTCAACCAACAAACGGCTCGAGGATCATCTGCATGTGATTTGGTGAGTGAATGAGATGTGACATTAAAGTTCATCTGAATACACCTGTGTAGGTACTGCATCCCAATCAATGATGAAGCCAGACCATTTACAAGAGCAGAGGTAACTTTCTTCGATGAGTGTGGGACTGGTAGAGGTGTGTCAATTGTTGTTAATCTCTTGAATTTCACCTTTTATTTTTATGCACAGTTCCTGTTATTGTCCTGTTTACAAAAGCAGATATTCTTGATGCCCAAACCATCAAACACCTGGTTGACACTGGAATGGATATTGAAGATGCTGCAAATAAAGCTCCAGAAGAGTCAGTTGCCATGTTTGAAAAGAGGTTTGGTCAGCAACTCTACAAGAAAAAGTATCCTCCCAAGGGTCATGTGTATTTTCGAGGTACAACAAACTCATTTACTTATACTCAATGGATTGATTGCATATCACAGGCATGCAAAAACCTACAAGTGACTGCAGTGAACTGCTGAGGAAGACAGCAGCCACCTTTTCAGATGATACACTCTTACAGCTGTTTCTTACAGTGCAGCAAAATAATGTGGCTCTGTCAATTGAATATGCAATTAAAAGGTAGTTGCTTTATTTTAAATTATATGCTGGTAAATTGCTGATTATCTAGAATAACAGAACTGTCTTTCCAGGTTGGAAGGTGTTCAAAGAAAAGGGAGAGTGGCAGAAGATGGTTGGGACGATGCTGAAGTATTTTCCACATATGGTATGTGGACCTTACTTGACTATACAGTGGTGGAACAAAATAATATATATGAACAGTTGGTAAGCCAACATCCAGTGGGTCTCAACTAGATGCTAATGGGATCATGCTTTTGTCATGACAGTGGGTGAGTCAGGATTTGGCTGGCCTTTCCTGTTTGTTGCTGATAAGAGCATGCTCTGGGTTTTGAACAGCTTGTAAGTCAGGATCTGGCTGGCCCTTCCTGCTTGTTGCTGACAAGAGCATGCTCTGGGTTTTGCACAGGGTGTAAGTCAGGATCTTGCTGGCCCTTCCTGCTTGTTGCTGACAAGAGCATGCTCTGGGTTTTGCACAGAGTGTAAGTCAGAATCTGGCTGGCCCTTCCTGCTTGTTGCTGACAAGAGCATGCTCTGGGTTCTGAATAGGATGTAAGTCAGAATCTGGCTGGCCCTTCCTGCTTGTTGCTGACAAGAGCATGCTCTGGGTTTTGAACAGGATGTAAGTCAGGATCTGGCTGGCCCTTCCTGCTTGTTGCTGACAAGAGCATGCTCTGGGTTTTGAACAGGATGTAAGTCAGGATCTGGCTGGCCCTTCCTGCTTGTTGCTGACAAGAGCATGCTCTGGGGTTTTGAACAGCTTGTAAGTCACGATCAGGCTGGCCCTTCCTGCTTGTTGCTGACAAGAGCATGCTCTGGGTTTTGAATAGGATGTAAGTCAGAATCTGGCTGGCCCTTCCTGCTTGTTGCTGACAAGAGCATGCTCTGGGTTTTGAACAGGATGTAAGTCAGGATTTGGCTGGCCCTTCCTGCTTGTTGCTGACAAGAGCATGCTCTGGGTTTTGAACAGGATGTAAGTCAGGATCTGGCTGGCCCTTCCTGCTTGTTGCTGACAAGAGCATGCTCTGGGGTTTTGAACAGCTTGTAAGTCACGATCAGGCTGGCCCTTCCTGCTTGTTGCTGACAAGAGCATGCCTGGGTTTTGAACAGCTTGTAAGTTAGGATCTGGCTGGCCCTTCCTGCTTGTTGCTGACAAGAGCATGCCTTGGGTTTTGAACAGTATGTAAGTCAGGATCTGGCTGGCCCTTCCTGCTTGTTGCTGACAAGAGCATGCTCTGGGTTTTGAACAGGATGTAAGTCAGGATCTGGCTGGCCCTTCCTGCTGGTTGTTGACAAGAGCATGCTCTGGGTTTTGAACAGTATGTAAGTCAGGATCTGGCTGGCCCTTCCTGCTAGTTGCTGACAAGAGCATGCTCTGGGTTTTGAACAGTATGTAAGTCAGGATCTCACTGGCCCTTCCTGCTGGTTGCTGACAAGAGCATGCCTTGTGTTTTGAGCAGGTTGTAAGTCAGGATCTGGCTGGCCCTTCCTGCTTGTTGCTGACAAGAGCATGCTCTGGGTTTTGAACAGGCTGTAAGTCAGGATCTGGCTGGCCCTTCCTGCTTGTTGCTGACAAGAGCATGCTCTGGGTTTTGAACAGGATGTAAGTCAGGATCTGGCTGGCTCTTACTGCTTGTTGCTGACAAGAGCATCCCCTGGGTTTTGAACAGGATGTAAGTCAGGATCTGGCTGGCCCTTCCTGCTTGTTGCTGACAAGAGCATGCTCTGGGTTTTGAACAGTATGTAAGTCAGGATCTGGCTGGCCCTTCCTGCTTGTTGCTGACAAGAGCATGCTCTGGGTTTTAAACAGCCTGTAAGTCAGGATCTGGCTGGCCCTTCCTGCTTGTTGCTGACAAGAGCATGCTCTGGGTTTTGAACAGCTTGTAAGTCAGGATCTGGCTGGCCCTTCCTGCTTGTTGCTGACAAGAGCATGGCCTATATTTCAAACAGAGAGTAAGTCTCAGCTTTCTTCTCTTTTTGTTTTGCTAAGAAATGATGAGATTGTGAGTTCAGTTATAGAATTTTAAAAAATATTCATGAAACTCTACTTCTTCAAATAGCCTGTGAGTATTATATTTTTTCTTCCCATCTTTTTTCAGAACTAGTATTGACTGAACCAAATACTATTTTTAGGTGGAGGATGTCCTCAATCATACTGACTGGTCCTTGGTAAACCTTCACCACATAAATTCTATTCAATATTCTGACCACAACATAATTCTATGTAGATTCACAATACCAAATCCTTCAAGGACATTGCCTTTTTATGTATTGGTGTGTCTACTCTCGTTTATGACTACTCTATCATAACTGCTATTTTAATGCTCAGTGACTGCTATCCTTGCAGAGCACTCTTTCTTCCTGTGGAAAAAGAAACTTTCACAGTCCACTGCCCCCTACAAATTAGCCATGCAAAAGTTCAACTTGTCTGCTGATGTGGCAAAAATTCAAACTGCCATCAAGGAGGCATCTCATTTGAAAACTAAGGATGAAAAGAAAGAAGCCCTTGTAAAGATTGCTATGGACAATCGTCTTCGTGAGCTTCAATCTTCCAAATCTTCTAATGTCTTTTTCTCATTCATTTGGTTTTAGCTTTATAACAGTTTTGACCCAGCTTCCCAGAATTTGATAAATGCAGCACATGTCTCTAGTTGCTACCCATTATGATGCACCCTTCCCTTACTGTTCTCAAAAAACAGATTGTGTCATTTAAGCAAAAGAAAGACAAGGTAAATTCAAATGTTTTCAAGCCCTTGAGTTGCCTTCACATGTATGTGTAAGTTCAAAGAGTTGTTGGAGGGCCATGGGTAGAGAGGGGGTGGTATATCTCAATGTATATGATTTATGCATTCTCCAAATTCCATCAGAAAAAAACACAAAGCATACAGATACATATTCCAAATTGCAACGTATTCACAAAGAAAGAGGAGCTCTAAGTACCAACAATGGTAGAAGAAAAATACAGATAGAAGAAATGGAGGCTTAGCAATGAGGGAGGACTAGGGGTACCAGATAAAGCCAGAGGACAAAGGGGAGAGCGGCATCAAACTAGTACTCAAAAAGACATAGTCGAGTCAACCTCAATAGTCGGCACAATGCTCGCAATAAACTTGAGGAAAACAACCAAATTAAAATCAACCCTCATCCCCTACAACTCCTCTTTCTCAAGCCCAATTTGCAGCTGTTGAACATCTTGGCACTCCCAGACAACTTTTGGCTGAAGGGCCATTTCTTCTCTTTCTTTGGGGTGTCCTTCCCCGAGGATTTACCATGCTGTGCAAGCTGTTCCTCAATGATGCTGTTGTTCCACTTCAGTCACCCATTTTAGGGTACCTCTCAGGTATATGAATTCTTGGATTTAAGGGTACCTCAATGGTACCCATTCCAGAGTGGTATGTGAGCACCATACCAATACCATGGTACCATGGAATGGAAAACTCATACCATATCCCACTCATACCAATACCAAGGTACCATACCATACCATGTCATGTTATACCATACCAGATGGTATGATACCATCATACCAAAGCTGTCACTGGGTGTCTGGGGTCCTTTTCCAAAATAAATAAATAAATTCTGCAGGCTGCAATACTGGTCCATTGGGTACCATTTTTTGTGGGGTGGTTCTCCATGTTTTTCTTGAGATATTGAGCTACAAATTGAGGCTAGATAGTCCAAACCATCTATTGAAAATGAATTTAAATAGGCTTTATCCCAGCTTTCTCATGCATCCAAAGCCATTTAATGATACATATCTTTCCCAGTCCTTTTGATTTCAACAAATATTCATCCAAATCAAACAATACCACATCTATTGGGATGAAGTGGTCATTGAGAAGCAAAGAAAAGTGGAAAGGTTCTTGAGGTTTTTTCTAAGATTTCCAACTCCAAGTGGAGGCTAGATAGTCAACTCCAACCTTTGGAAATCAGTTCAATTGAGGGTTTTTTCATTTCTAAAAAGCCATTAATATGAATCCTCCCAATAATAGGTTAAATATATTTTGCCCAGTAGGGCCAATCAGGCAGTCCTACCTACTTACATAGCATGTACATATAGTATGGCCAACAACACCATATAATCTCAATTTTCTTAAAAACTACATATGATGGAATCAGGTATTGTTGTCCTGAGTGTTTGGTTCTTTGTCATAATATTTGGTCCAATTTATTGAAGCTGAGTGAATCTGTCCAATCCAAAGTCTTGTTAATTGGAAATGGAATCAAGTCTTGTTGTCCTAAGAGTCTTCATTATCAAAATATCATACCATGGTGTTGTAATCCCATGTTGCATTCTCATACCATACCATGGTATTGCACTCTCATACCATACCATACCATACCATGGTATTGCACCCTCATGCCATACCATGTACCCTCATACCATACCATGCACCCTCTCATACCATACCATGGTATTGCACCCTCATGCCATACCATGCACCCTCATACCATACCATGGTATGACACTCCCATACCATACCATGCACCCTCATACCATACCATGCACCCTCTCATACCATACCATGGTATTGCACCCTCATGCCATACCATGCACCCTCATACCATACCATGGTATTGCACCCCCATACCATACCATGCACCCTCATACCATACCATGCACCCTCATACCATACCATACCATACTATACCATACCATACACCATACCACACCATACCATGCACCCTCATACCATACCATGGTATCAGGAACCATAATCTATTTTTATTCAAGCAGAGGAAGTCAGAAAACCCTCATTTCGAAGTTTGTTTACATATATTTACCAATAGCTTTGACCAAAGTGATGCTAAAATTTTGTAGTGTCCGCTTTGATGATTTCCTAATTGGGCCATTTCCTAATTGGGAAAGGCGTTACACTTTTTTCTGCCACACCTAATGTCAGGCACAGTTTGCAGTTGGGTTGGGAACTGTTTCCCACACTCTTTGGGCCACTGGAGTTAGTGGCTAGCTAAGTGTTGTCACTGTTAATGACGATGTCCGCACTATTTCCTAATTGGGAAAAGCGTTACACTTTTTTCTGCCATATCTAATGTCAGGCACACTGCGCAGTTAGGTCAGGAACTTTTTCCCACGCTCTTTGGGCCACTGGAGTTAGTGGCTAACTTGGTGTTGTCACTGTTCAGGACGATGTCCGCATTATTTCCCAATTGGGCCATTTCCTAATTAGGAAAAGCGTTACACTTTTTTCTGCCACACCTAATGTCAGGCACAGTGCACATTTCGCTTGAGAACTGTTTCCCACGCTCTTTGGGCCACTGGAGTTAGTGGCTAGCTTAGTGTTGTCATTGTTTATGACGATGTTCGCATATTTCCTAATTGGGAAAGTCATTACATAATATCAGTTTGGTTTGCACTGTCCGCTTTTTCACTACAAAAGTTACTAGTGTGCGCTTTTTTCATTACAAAAGTTTGTAGTGTCCGCTTTTTGGACAACAAATATTTGTATTGTAGTCTTTGCCTTTGTCATTACAAAGATTTGTAGTGTCTGCTTTTTAGACTACAAATGTTTGTAGTGTCCGCTTTTTTGATTACAATGTTTGTAGTGTCCGCTTTTTAGACTACAAATGTTTGTAGTCTTTGCCTTTGTCATTATAAAGGTTTGTAGTGTCCGCTTTTTAGACTACAAATGTTTGTAGTGTCCGCTTTTTTGATTACAATGTTTGTAGTCTCCGCTTTTTAGACTACAAATGTTTGTAGTCTTTGCCTTTGTCATCACAAAGGTTTGTAGTGTCTGCTTTTTAGACTACAAATGTTTGTAGTGTCTGCTTTTTTCATTACAATGTTTGTAGTGTCCGCTTTTTGGACTACAAAGGCTTGTAGTGTGCACTTTTTAGACTACAAATGTTTGTACTGTCCGCTTTTTTCATTACAATGTTTGTAGTGACTGCTTTTAAGTGCACACTACAGG